CCTAACGACCTGTAATTTCCATTTCCTCTAGATTCTTCTTTTGCATATTTATCTATATTCTTGAAAAAAAAAATACATCAGCTTCAACATACTTTTTCACCATAATTTTATTCTTAATCCTATCGTGGTATCCGCTTCACCAGAAATGCCTCTCTCTCTCTCTCTCTCTCTCTCTCTCAATCCCACGCGTCCACGCGTCTAAAATTTCCTCGACGAACGTCGTCGTTCCACTTCCTGTCTAGAATCGGCCGATTCATCAACGGTAGAGCCATTAGCTAATTTATTAATTTCTTACCTTGTTCCGGCTGGCCGAGAGGTCGTGATCCCTGAAGTCCGAGCGAAAAACCATAGAACACCCACGGGGCAATTAAAATACTAATTCTCATTGATGATTTAATCGACGTGTTGTTTCGGGAATTCGATTGTTCCACGCGCGCTTCGTCCGGAATCGTTCGTCACAACCGGTTCGAATATTCGAAAATCGAGAGAGTCACGTACCCTTCTCTCGACGACGGCCTTTGACGATTCTTTTCGAGATCCTTGTTTCACCAGCCTCCCGTGTTTGCGCTCGAAATTTCATCGTTGGCCTCGGTATCGATATCGAGACGATCGAAACATTTGCTAAATTTGAATAAATTAATTAATTCTCCCCCATTTGATCCAGAGTGTCTAATATCTTTCACAACTTGCGAAGATCCGTCCATGTATCGAGTGACTTTTAAGTACGTCTTAAGTATCTTATTTTTCAATTGTTATCAAATCTATTTTCTAACAAATAATAAGGAGCGTCGGAGATTCTTGTTATAAGAAGATTATACATCTTCGCTGTATAATGTTACGTTTGTCATCTGTCTACGTTGTAGTTTTTCGTACTCCTTTGTGCCGAATATCTCTCCTTTGACTCTTCTAGCGGGCAAAATCGTCGTCAGAGCGGATTGTAACACTGGATCGAGTAACGGAAGAACGTCCGAGGAAGACGATCGTGGATGAAACGGAAGGAAGAGGGTGGATGGATCCGAGATGGGAACGACAAGGGATGATCAGAGGAATGAAAGCATCCTCTGCTCGGATGCTTTTTCGATTTTTCAGTCGACGGGCTCTATCCTTGCTCTACGTTTTCTAATTTATCCTCCAAAAGAAGAAGAAGAAGAAAAAGAAGAAACGTATCGAGTCAAGATTTCCGGGATTCCGCGGGATTTCCGGGAGTTAACTCCGCTTTAAGGAAAGAGAGAGGCGCGGTGCATTAATTTCCTTCGAGATGGAAAATTAGTCTCGATATTAGAAGTTGCCAAGAATCAGGACAAAGTAATCGTGGCTCGTTGAACGGCTCGTAAAACTTCTTCTTCGGACTTGTAAGAACTTTGTTTAAGCAACGAGAGGGAGGGGGTTGAAATAGAAAGAATATAGATAGGGTAGGAGCGTTGAGAAAGAAAATTAAACAAGAAAATGGATGGAAGGAGCGAGAAAAGGAGAGAGAGGGAGGGAGGATAGACGTTTTGTTCGATGCAGTTCGCGTAGGGGTCTGAGGTTAATTGCAAAATTAACCTTAATTATTAGCCCTCCTGGACATTTCCATTCTCCTCTCGCCTAGTTCTAGCTACGATGGTAATGTAGCAGGTTAGTTACCGGCGCTTGGTTGCCGAAAGATTTAATCTTTTTTAGCGGAGGCCGCGTTTACGAAGAACGGGTTTCCGAAAAAAAAACGGGTTGCCTCTGACTCCTCGCCTCTTGTCTCTGATTTTTACGCCAATGTTAACTTCTTTCCAGGGATCTCGACCTTTTCAAAAAATCATAACCTTCCACTACTCGCGTTCCTTGCTACAATTAAATATTTAAACTTACGAGAAGAAGGTACAAGGTTGGTGGAAAAAATAAAGTCATTCAACCGTCGAAGTGATTTTTTTTTTTATTGTTCCATATTTATACACATAATAAGCGATACCGTATTATATCGTATTAGGTACTAGATCGTATTGTATGTATATATATATATATATATATATATATTTATATATATTCATTCATTTATTTATATATCGAGCATTCTGTACAATAAATAAAGACTCTAGAGCATTTAAAACATAACACGGCGTACTCCCTTGCGATTGGCATCGAAAAGTGTACAATAATTTAACGAGTACCCCTATATGCGTATATCCCATCGCCTTTTGCGGAAAACGCGTCATCGCAGATGACGATACTTGTGGCGATTCGAGGATATGTATATACATATCGCATAGGGTTCCATTTTGAACTTGTCAAACAAATCGTAACAATCCCTCCCCGTTTTCGACTCGGTAGAGACGGCTACCTT